ATGTTATCTTACATGTTTTCTTCTATGTTATCTGACATGTTTTCTTCTATGTTATCTGACATGTTTTCTTCTATGTTATCTGACATGTTTTCTTCTATGTTATCTGACATGTTTTCTTCTATGTTATGGTGTGTCTCTGACATTTCTTTTGTTATTTTATCTGACATGTTTTCTCTGAAGTTATGTTGTGTCTTTGACATATTTTTTTTTCTGTGCTTGCCCTCAGAAATAATCTTTGCTTTGGTGTGTCTGCAATTATTGACTGGGCAGAGGCTACTGACACTGGTATCTATTCCCAATTGTTTCAGATTTTAGGTACAGAATGCACCAGAAGGCACCTTATATTCTCCAAGGTAAGTTTGTCCAATTGCAGGTTTAGGCAAGTCTTTGTCATTCAGTTCCTTGGTACAGCTAAAACTCAACACTTGATACAATTAAATCCACGGGCAACACAGCAGAAGCATTTTCTGTGGATTCACAGTGGTCAGTACTGAAGTCAGAAGTCTTGCATAGACAGATATTGGTCAGTACTAAAATAAGTCTTTCACAGACAGACAGTGGTCACTACTAAAGTCATATGTCTTCTACAGACAGATATTGATCAGTACTGAAGTCAGATATCTTCTACAAACAGTTAGTGGTCAGTACTGAAGTCAGATATTTTCTACAAACAGATAGTGGTCAATACTGAAATAAGTCAGATGTCTTTTACAGACAGATAGTGGTAAATACTGAAATAAGTCAAATATATTCTACAGACAGATAGAGATCAATACTGAAATAAGTCAGATGTCTTCTACAGACAGATAGTGGTCGGTACTGAAATCAGATATCTTGTACAGACAGATTGTGGTCAAAACCGAAGTAAGATATTTTGGCCTCAACCACTTTTGATTGGCAGTGTAAAGCTCTAAGGGGTCCATAGCAGCCTCATCTGGTGTCTGGTGCAGTTGGGAAGCACTGAATTTAAAGGGGGGAAAATACAGCGAGAGAGAAAGAGAGGGTAGAGGGAGGCAGAGAAAGATCATTGTGATCAACTGTTCTTACCATTCTCAGTTTAGTAAAGCAGATTAAAATCGCAGTGACTGCTTAATTTTCAAAATGTACAAAGAAATATATTATAACCAGTCAGATTCATCATACTCATTTAAGAATATTTTAATTCTGTTGTTTTTGTTTTAATGTTCCCATAATTTGACACTGAGTGGAAGCATGTCCTAAGCTAAAACTTCTACAAATGTAAATTACTGGCTACAATTTTGTTTTTAAAGGATTTCTGTAGCAACGATGTGACATAATTTAAGTAGATGGTATCTTTGGCTAAGCTGATTGTTGAGCTGTTCAACCAATAAAACAGAAAGGGAGTTTCTCAGAAGAGCCAAAGTTTATCATGGTTTACATAACTGACATTAGGAAGTGTTGTGTCTAGCAAGTCTCCAACAGCATCCCTGAAGGAGCACTATCTGGAACCACTGCTCATCGATGACCTTGCCTGTTTGGATAGCCACTGAAAACACCACAACAACCTTGTGTCCACATCAACAATCAGTGGAGAAAATAGAGAACTAGGCAAAGAATTAGGGTCTAAAACTTTTATTGACCCCCCTCCCTTCTTTAAAGGGCTTCTAGACCATCTGCTGAAGCATAGATTTCAAGCAGCAAAACTACCAAGAAAAGTATCAATCATTCTGCAGGAGAAGCTTTGACACAACATACAAATATAAACAACCCACATACTGATGTGTGGAGCTTTGACACAACATGCAAATATAAACAACTCACATACTGATGTGTGGAGCTTTGACACAACATGCAAATATAAAACACTGACATACTAATGTGTGAAGCTCTTACACCAGAACTATGAATTCACTGTCCATTATAATCCAGTACAGATTTGAAAGTCCCGTGAATAATCTACAAAAAAAGCCAGAGTCGGAGCAAAGATATTTTTTCACCTTATATGCTCAGAAATCAGTATCCCTCCAATATTTGGACACATATGTTTACATATGGTTTTGGTAAAGAAGTTACCACAAAAAAAATGTGGACAAATCTACATTACATCCTAAGTGCAACATTCAGTATCAGCATGGGAATTGTGCACTAACTTCAGAACAGGGGCAGCAAATCACCTTTAAGCTGAACAGACTTCCAACACTCCAGTCTAGGTAAAAAGCTGTGATATTCACATTTGTAAAAATCAGGTCTCCAAAAACATCTCACGCTCCAAACAGGACAGAATCAACTGTAAAATGTTATAAAGCAAACTTTACCCCCCCCCCCCACCCCCTTTCCCCCCAAAAAAGATGCTTTGCACGAGAATGTAACTAATCCAGTAGTGGATTTCAGCCTACTGTGGATCCCCAAAAATGGAAAGGCAGAACTTGTCTCAGAGCTTTAAAACCTGAAATGACTCAAACAATCTATGGTTGAAGACTACAGAATTACAGACCAGGGCTCGTTGTGAGGTGAGGAAAGAAAGACAACAGGAAACAAAACTGGCACTCTGTCATTCCTTTTACTTGATAAGGTGTATTTCAAGGTAAGGAATAGACTAGAGAGCTTGGCCACATTTCTGGGGTGGATCACGAGGACCAACTGACCGGTGATTCTGCTGATGGTGAAGGATGACTACCTATGATTTTCAGTTTAGCACATAATAATGATGATATTTCTAGATTAAGGGGTTGGGCGATTTTTTTTCCCCAACAGGGGGCGGTTGGGGAAAAGTTACGAAAACACTGGTCTAGTGTATTGCACACATTGATACAAGGAACTTGATGGTCCGATCCAGGGTATTGCAAACATTGATACAAGGAACTTGGTGGCTGGGTCTAGGGTATGGCAAACATTGATACAAGGAACTTGATGGCTAGGTCTAGGGTATTGCAAACATTGATACAAGGAACTTAGTGGCTGGATCTAGGGTATTGCAAATATTGATACAAGGAACTTGATGGCTGGGTCTAGGGTATTGCAAACAATGATACAAGGAACTTGATGGCTGGGTCTAGGGTATTGCAAACATTGATACAAGGAACTTGATGGCTGGGTCTAGGGTATTGCAAACATTGATACAAGAAACTTGATGGCTGGGTCTAGGGTATTGCACACATTGATACAAGGAACTTGATGGCTAGGTCTAGGGTATTGCAAACATTGATACAAGGAACTTAATGGCTGGGGGTCTAGGGTATTGCAAACATTGATACAAGGAACTTGATGTCTAGGGTATTGCAAACATTGATACAAGAAGCTGGATCTAGGGTAGTGCAAACATTGATACAAGAACTGGATCTAGGGTATTGCAAACATTGATACAAGAACTGGATCTAGGGTATTGCAAACATTGATACAAGAAGCTGGATCTAGGGTAGTGCAAACATTGATACAAGCAGCTGGATCTAGGGTATTGCAAACATTGATACACGAAGCTGGATCTAAGGTATTGCAAACATTGATACAAGGAACTTGGTGGCTGGGTCTAGGGTATGGCAAACATTGATACAAGGAACTTGATGGCTAGGTCTAGGGTATTGCAAACATTGATACAAGGAACTTAGTGGCTGGATCTAGGGTATTGCAAATATTGATACAAGGAACTTGATGGCTGGGTCTAGGGTATTGCAAACAATGATACAAGGAACTTGATGGCTGGGTCTAGGGTATTGCAAACATTGATACAAGGAACTTGATGGCTGGGTCTAGGGTATTGCAAACATTGATACAAGAAACTTGATGGCTGGGTCTAGGGTATTGCACACATTGATACAAGGAACTTGATGGCTAGGTCTAGGGTATTGCAAACATTGATACAAGGAACTTAATGGCTGGGTCTAGGGTATTGCAAACATTGATACAAGGAACTTGATGTCTAGGGTATTGCAAACATTGATACAAGAAGCTGGATCTAGGGTAGTGCAAACATTGATACAAGAACTGGATCTAGGGTATTGCAAACATTGATACAAGAACTGGATCTAGGGTATTGCAAACATTGATACAAGAAGCTGGATCTAGGGTAGTGCAAACATTGATACAAGCAGCTGGATCTAGGGTATTGCAAACATTGATACACGAAGCTGGATCTAAGGTATTGCAAACATTGATACAAGGAACTTGGTGGCTGGGTCTAGGGTATGGCAAACATTGATACAAGGAACTTGATGGCTAGGTCTAGGGTATTGCAAACATTGATACAAGGAACTTAGTGGCTGGATCTAGGGTATTGCAAACATTGATACAAGGAACTTGATGGCTGGATCTAGTGTATTGCAAACAATGATACAAGGAACTTAATGGCTGGATCTAGGGTATTGCAAACATTGATACAGGGAACTTGATGGCTGGATCTAGTGTATTGCAAACATTGATACAAGGAACTTGATGGCTGGATCTAGGGTATTGCAAACATTGATACAAGGAACTTAATGGCTGGATCTAGGGTATTGCAAACATTGATACAAGGAACTTGATGGCTATTTCTAGGGTATTGCAAACATTGATACAAGAAACGTGATGGCTGGGTCTACGGTATTGCAAACATTGATACATTAAATTTAATTGCTGGATCTAGGGTATTAAAAGCATTGATACAAGAAACTTGTTGGCTAGGAAATAATCTGCACATGATGATGTCTTGTTTCAGGTTACTATTTTGTTGGGCAAACACTCGGAGACCAGGCCACAAAAGACACTGATTACACTGTATGGGGAATCAAGAACTAAGTCTGGTTGTGTGGGGAATCAAGAACCAAGTCTGGTTGTGTGGGGAATCAAGAACCAAGTCTGGTTGTGTGGGGAATCAAGAACTAAGTCTGGTTGTGTGGGGAATCAAGAACTAAATGTGGATGTGTGGGGAAATCAGGCACTAAGTATATATGTGTGGGGAATCAAGCATTAGGTTTGGATGTGTGGGATATCAAGCACTCAGTCTGGATGTGTGGGGAAATCAAGCACTCAATCTGGATGTGTGGGATATCAAGCACTCAGTCTGGATGTGTGGGATATCAAGCACTCAGTCTGGATGTGTGGGGAAATCACGCACTAAGTATAGATGTGTGGGGAAATCACGCACTAAGTCTGGATGTGTGGGGAAATCACGCACTAAGTCTGGATGTGTGTGGAAATCACGCACTAAGTCTGGATGTGTGGGGAAATCACGCACTAAGTCTGGATGTGTGGGGAAATCACGCACTAAGTCTGGATGTGTGTGGAATGATTGAATGAGTGAAACAAGAATTGGCATCATTGCACTCAGGACATTCCTAGACCTGCTTCGTCCATTTTTTGGGAACCAACTAAAAGTTGGCATGCAAGTGGTACCAGTTACAACTTGAATCACATAGTAGCTCACCACCCAGCGAAGCTGCAGCTTATCTATCAGCTTGCTCGTTACCTCACACACCTGCATATGCTAGACAGAAAATCCATGATATGCTCTTGATCTGAGTCTTATCGAGTGATGCAAACCACTCTGATTGCAGGACGCCAGTTTCAGTTTTCTGAAGCATGTACTGTGTGAGCTTGTTACAGTCACAGGGTGTCAGGCTGTCTGTTCTCTGGCCATCCTGCTGTGTACTGAGTTACACACTAATCAGCACACTCCCAGGTGTCTATAGATATAACACTCGACGACAGTTGTTTCGTCATACTATACATTTATTCCACAGGTTACAAGCCCTCACAACACAACTACAGAGACGTAGACATTGATCCTAATTGACATTCGAACATAGTCCATCTAGTCCTCACTCACTCTCTCTCAACTTGTAGCTACCTCTCCCTCACCACTACAGCTCTGAAGGTTTACAGCTTTCCACAACTCTCGGCTCGCCGTACAGCAGAACAAGACGAACTCTCCTATCAACTGGACCTTGATATTATTTCAGCAGACAACAACAGCTGACTGGAAACAGACTTCACTTGCTCGTTCTCCAGCATGGGCCCACAGCACATCAGCCTTTCGAAGGACTCTGATGACCGTCAGGACTTCTAACACAAGTCCCCTCTAGCACACAGCTCTTGTTGGCATCCCTACTGTTCTATTTCCATGGTGATCCTACTTCTCCTTGTGCCGTCACCCATAACAGTCACTATTGGAGCATCCAGTCCCCTTGGTCTTACTTCGCCAGCGTACTATATCTTCGACCAGTACCTTTCACACAACCCTTACACAGACCTTGCTGCCTGACGGTTGCTCTGTACTCTGTCTCACTCGAGAGATTCTGACCCTGACTTGGTCTCTATCTCTCTCTCTCTCTCTCTCTCTCTCTCTCTCTCTCTCTCTCTCTCTCTCTCTCTTTCTGTTTGTCTGTCTGTCTTGGACTCGGACTGACTACACAGCCCCAACATATCTCTGCCGAACCCATGTGGGCGGCTGATGTTACTCGAGAGGCTCGCTCGTGTGAGTGTTTTCGGGAATCATGCTCATGTGGGCTTTCTCGAAGATCACGCTTCTGTGGGTGGCTGATGTTACACGAGAATCACGCTGCCATGTTGTACATATTTTCTCGGTGCGTCTTGTTAGCCATGCTTGTCAGCTCCACACAGTGAACCCACACATCTACTTCCACATGACACTAAACTTCTCACTGGTCACCATTCTCTTCCCCTCCCTACTCAGGCCAGTGTTGACACTGTTCACTTGAACTCCCGGAAAGTAATATCATACCACTCTGTCCCTTCACACACTGTTACACTCTCCCAAATCAGCACGCAACACTGGCGTTACTGCCTCCACCTCCATTGCCATACTAAACTTTGTGATGCTGTAGGCGAGGCTCATTGTTTTCAAGCAGTGTCCTTTCGTCTTTGCACGAAAACTCCAGCCAGTCATCCTATCTCTTACCACAGGCTCAATCTATATATTATGATGTCACATGGGCATGCATTGTTATTAATCAGCTCCTGCATCGCAGACTCTGTTTTCACTGCTGACTCTGTTTTCACCGCTGACTGTTTTCACCGCTCACTTTATTTTCACCGCTGTCCATTCTCAACAACATCGGTCCAAGGTAACTGTCACTCTGTGCAAGTCTGTTTTGCTGGGCGGCACTGTAACCCATTCTTCACTTTGCACTATCTTGTCAGTAGCACTGACAGTTCTGATCGTGACTTCTGCCTTTGCCATCCAAGAGCCACTCTTTTCAACCGCTATCCTTTGCTATCCACTAACGCCTCATGCAGAAGATGTTCCCTGTTCATTGTGTCTTTAAGGTACATTTTCGCTGAAAAACCTTGTATCTCTCATATAAGGATGGTAATGCAAGAATGTGCCGCATGCACACAATTGGCGTAGCTCGTGTAAATCCCAAAATGACTCGCTTGGCTTTATTTTGTAAGCGTTCCAACTTCTCTGTTTGAGAATGAGATAATGTTAGTCCTAAGATGTGAACAAACTTCCTGTGTTTTAGTTTGGACTGCTATCGATTGTGTGATTTTTTTTTTAGGTTTGTTTGGTTAGATAAATTATGGTTGATTACTTTTTCTGAAATGAGTGCTTAATTATTGAGTGCTTAATTATTAATGAGTGCTAAGATGTTGTTTTGCTTGTGACAGTTTATAATTATTTAGTGTTCTGTTGGGCAAATGAATGACACTTTTGTTAGAAACATAATAAAAGCATTATTTGAGTGTTGATACTTGTTTGACTTACATTAGTTTGTGAGTTAAGTAGTCAATAACTGTATCTGTTGGTTGTGACTGTCAGCCAAAACCTCTTCTGTCAGGATTGTATGTCCTATCTCTACAATTTCCACTTTACAGAATATTCATTCTTCTTCTATTTCTTGGCAAAGTTGTCAAGCCATTTTCCGTAATCTGTTCATTTCATGGACTGTATCATTTGGTTCACAAGTTCAGTTTGACAGATTCATTACAGATTCCTGGTTTGTTTTTGGTTTTGTGCTTGCTAACCAATCTTCTTCTTCACTTTTCCTGTTGACATCATAGCTGCAATGTTTGTGCCATTCTGCTGACACATTAAACTTTGTTGGGTATTAGTTGTCGGTCTTAGCCTTCCCAGTTAGTTTCTTGGGACATTGTAACGCCTTGTTTGTGTGGTGACTTCATAATCCCCTTGTATTTTGACTTGAGAATCGATCTCATAGCACTCGGGACACCCCATAAGCGCTCCGTCCCCATCTTTAGCAGCAGTACTTCACAATTCCCTGATTCCAGGTATTGCCCCTTGGGCTCCTAAATGCACACTGGTCGACCCTCAACGGGAGAGGTCTGAACCCAGTAAAGATAAACATAATCCTTAAAAGAGCAGCAGACTCAGTGATTTGGCCACGTGACAGGAACAGCCTTGTACAAACTGTCACAGTGAGCCATGTCATAGTATATCAATACTGGACAAGGGAAAGACTGCTCGTTAGAAACATCATCAAAAAAAAAAAAAAAAGATACAATACAAATCTAAAGTAAGAGAAGAAAAATGGGGTACCAGACATCAGCAGAGTCATACTTCTGAGGATCTGAAGCCACATGTGCTAGCTCCCCCATAGAGTTACAGTATGAATCTTTCAGCCACCCTTTTGTGCATTCCTGCTACTATGCCTTGGTAAGTCAGTAGTCTGTCTAGAGTTTTGTGAGAGTCAACTACAGTCTCAGAGATGTTAGTTTTACAGTTTCAGGATGGGAGTGTGAACTGGAGATCTTTGCTGGCATACACATTTGATATAGTAATTTAATCGACAAATTATCCTCATTGCAGATCAGTCCATAAGCGCTGGGATCCCATGTCAAGTGTCTGCGTCAGCGTGTGGCCAATGAAACAGTTCTTGTGAAAAAAAAAAAAAAAAAAAAAAAAAAAAAAAAAAAAAAAAAAAAAAAAAAAAAAAAAAAAAAAAAAAAAAAAAAAAAAAAAAAAAAAAAAAAAAAAAAACAAAAAAAAAAAAAAAAAAAAAAAATAAATATACAATTTGTGATGTCTAATTTAAGGGTTTAAAAAAAACAGTAATGTCAGCCGGCTCTCTCTCTCTCTCTCTCTCTCTCTCTCTCTCTCTCTCTCTCTCTCTCTCTCTCTCTCTCTCTCTCAGATCTCAGTAATGTCAGCCCGTTCTCTCTCTCTCTCTCTCTCACTCTCTCTCTCTCTCTCTCTCAGATCTCAGTAATGTCAGCTTGTTCTCTCTCTCTCTCTCTCTCTTTCTCTCTCTCTCTCTCTCTCTCTCTCTCTCTCTCTCTCTCTCTCTCTCTCTCTCTCTCAGATCTCAGTAATGTCAGCTTGTTCTCTCTCTCTCTCTCTCTCTCTCTCTCTCTCAGATCTCAGTAATGTCAGCTTGTTCTCTCTCTCTCTCTCTCTCTCTCTCTCCTCTCTCTCTCTCTCTCTCAGATCTCAGTAATGTCAGCTTGTTCTCTCTCTCTCTTTCCCTCTCTCTCTCTCAGATCTCAGTAATGTCAGCTTGTTCTCTCTCTCTCTCTCTCTCTCTCTCTCTCTCTCTCTCTCAGATCTCAGTAATGTCAGCTTGTTCTCTCTCTCTCTCTCTCTCTCTCTCTCTCTCTCTCTCTTTCTCTCAAATCTCAGTAATGTCAGCTTGTTCTCTCTCTCTCTCTCTCTCTCTCTCACATCTCAGTAATGTCAGCCTGTTCTCTCTCTCTCTCTCTCTCTCTCTCTCTCTCTCTCTCTCTCTCTCTCTCAGATCTCAGTAATGTCAGCCTGTTCTTCTCTCTCTCTCTCTCTCTCTCTCTCTCAGATCTCAGTAATGTCAGCTTGTTCTCTCTCTCTCTCTCTTTCTCTCTCTCTCTCTCTCTCTCTCTCTCTCTCTCTCTCTCTCTCTCTCAAATCTCAGTAATGTCAACCTGTTCTCACTCTCTCTCTCTCTCTCTCTCTCTCTCTCTCTCTCTCTCTCTCAGATCTCAGTAATGTCAGCTTGTTCTCTCTCTCTCTCTCTCTCTCTCTCTCTCTCTCTCTCTCTCTCTCATATCTCAGTAATGTCAGCTTGTTCTCTCTCTCTCTCTCTCTCTCTCTCTCTCTCTCTCTCTCTCTCTCTCAGATCTCAGTAATGTCAGCCTGTTCTCTCTCTCTCTCTGATCTCAGTAATACCAGCTAGTTTTCTCCATCAGATCTCAGTAACCTTAGTCTGTTCTCTCTCTCTCTCTCCCTCTCTCTCAGATCTCAGTAATGTCAGCCTGATCTCAGTAATCTTAGTCTGTTCTCTCCATCTGATCTCAGTAACCTTTGTCTGTTCTCTCCATCTGATCTCAGTAACCTTAGTCTGTTCTCTCCATCAGATCTCAGTAACCTTAGTCTGTTCTTTCCATCTGATCTCAGTAACCTTAGTCTGTTCTCTCCATCTGATCTCAGTAACCTTAGTCTGTTCTTTCCATCTGATCTCAGTAACCTTAGTCTGTTCTCTCCATCTGATCTCAGTAACCTTAGTCTGTTCTCTCCATCAGATCTCAGTAACCTTAGTCTGTTCTCTCCATCAGATCTCAGTAACCTTAGTCTGTTCTCTCCATCAGATCTCAGTAACCTTAGTCTGTTCTCTTCATCAGATCTCAGTAACCTTAGTCTGTTCTCTCCATCAGATCTCAGTAACCTTAGTCTGTTCTCTCCATCTGATCTCAGTAACATTAGTCTGTTCTCTCCATCAGATCTCAGTAACCTTAGTCTGTTCTCTACATCAGATATCAGTAACCTTAGTCTGTTCTCTCCATCTGATCTCAGTAACCTTAGTCTGTTTTCTCCATCAGATCTCAGTAACCTTAGTCTGTTCTCTCTCTCTTTCTCTCTCTCTCTCTCTCTTTCCTTCTCTCTCAGATCTCAGTAATGTCAGCCTGTTCTCTCACTCTCTCTCTCTCTGTCTCTCTCTCTCTCTCTCTCTCTCTCTCTCTCTCTCTCTCTCTCTCTCTCTGATCTCAGTAACCTTAGTCTGTTCTCTTCATCAGATCTCAGTAACCTTAGCCTGTTCTCTCCATCTGATCTCAGTAACCTTAATCTGTTCTCTCCATCAGATCTCAGTAACCTTAGTCTGTTCTCTCCATCAGATCTCAGTAACCTTAGTCTGTTCTCTCCATCAGATCTCAGTAACCTTAGTCTGTTCTCTCCATCAGATCTCAGTAACCTTAGTCTGTTCTCTCCATCAGATCTCAGTAACCTTAGTCTGTTCTCTCCATCTGATCTCAGTAACCTTCGTCTGTTCTCTCCATCAGATCTCAGTAACCTTAGTCTGTTCTCTCCATCAGATCTCAGTAACCTTAGTCTGTTCTCTCCATCAGATCTCAGTAACCTTAGTCTGTTTTCTCTATCAGATCTCAGTAACCTTAGTCTGTTCTCTCCATCTGATCTCAGTAACCTTAGTCTGTTCTCTCCATCTGATCTCAGTAACCTTAGTCTGTTCTCTCCATCTGATCTCAGTAACCTTAGTCTGTTCTCTCCATCTGATCTCAGTAACCTTAGTCTGTTCTCTCCATCTGATCTCAGTAACCTTAGCCTGTTCTCTCCATCAGATCTCAGTAACCTTAGTCTGTTCTCTCCATCAGATCTCAGTAACCTTAGTCTGTTCTCTCTATCAGATCTCAGTAACCTTAGTCTGTTCTCTCCATCGGATCTCATCTAGTGGAAGACTCCCACTTGCCTGATCCGAGAAACGTGGGCTGATGTTTCTGTGGTCCTGGCGTTTTTTATTGCTCACAAACTGCAGGCGGTGACCAGTGGCATGAACGTGAGTGCAAGACGCCAGTCTGCACGTGCCTGAAACGTGCTGTCAGTAGTGCGTGCTAAATGTTGATATCGACCCAGTCTGTTTTCCGTTCTGATTGTTTCCACAAGCATCCACACATCTCTGCGTGCGGGAAACAGTCTAGTCGTTCTAACTGCAGTGAGTAGCCAACAAAACCTGATTTACTGTTCTTTCTTTTTTTTTTTTTAACAACTGTAACATTATTTGTGCTAGTACTAGAAAACATTGAATTCAGTAAGCTTTTTTTTTTTTTTTAAATCATCCTTTTCTGGCTGCTTTCGTTCTAGTGGCATATTGTCGCATCACTCATTTCCCCACCCCCTGCTACACCCAGCAATTCAGCCACAAATAGAATGATTGTGCCAAGATCGATCGCAATTATTCGGTCAATATTGCTGTTGGACGTCTGTCAGCAGTTTCTCATCTGGGACTGCAGACAAAAAAGGGGGGAAAAAGGGGGGGGGGGGGGGGTCACCCAGTTCCATTTGTAGCTCGTATCGGAAAAATGTTGCCTGTGTAAGGAAACGTAGGCTTTATACAGTCAGTGTAGCCGATATACAATCAGTGTAGCCGGTATCCAGGAAGTGTATCCGGTATACAGGAAGTGTAGCCAGTATACAGTCACTGTAGCCGGTATACAATCAGTGTAGCCGGTATACAATCAGTGTAGCCGGTATACAGGAAGTGTAGCCGGTATACAGAAAGTGTAGCCAGTATACAATCAGTGTAGCCGGTATACAGGAAGTGTAGCCGGTATACAATCAGTGTAGCCGGTATACAATCAGTGAAGCCGGTATACAGGAAGTGTAGCCAGTATACAATCAGTGTAGCCGGTATACAGGAAGTGTAGCCGGTATACAATCAGTGTAGCCGGTATACAGTCAGTGAAGCCGGTATACAGGAAGTGTAGCCGGTATAAAGTCAGTGTAGCCGGTATACAATCAGTGTAGCCGATATACAGTCAATGTAGCCGGTATACAGTCAGTGTAGCCGGTATAAAGTCAGTGTAGCCGATAAACAGTCAGTGTAGCCGGTATACAGTTAGTGTAGCCGATAAACAGTCAGTGAAGCCGATAAACAGTCAGTGTAGCCGATAAACAGTCAGTGTAGCTGGTATACAGTCAGTGTAGCCGATAAACTGTCAGTGTAGCCGGTATACAGTCAGTGTAGCTGGTATACAATC